AATGAAGATTAAATCCAATTAAATAAATGAAGCGCCTTGCACCCACTTTGGCCACGAGCGCCTCATCCATTTGTGTTTGTGTTTGAAGCGAGGAATCCACGGGATGCCGTTTCCCAGCCAGTGGATTCCGCCCTGGGTTGGAGGGTGCACTCTGCCTCCTGCTGGGAGTCCTGCGAATCCAGCCTCTTCTCTGCAATTGCCAAAGCACAGGGCAGCGGAAGAGAAGGCAGTCTAGGTGTCTCCTGGGCCCTGGAGGCTCGGCAACTGCCACCCAGTTGACCTTCAGAATAGCCCTACGAGAGAGATGTTGGTGTCTTGATCGGATAGGGAAGCTCAGAAAATTTCGTTCATCGGGCCTCTAGTCATTTATAATTGTTTTTTGAACCTCTCCCTTCTCCTAATTACCCTCCCATCACATTGCTGAATACATTATCCTTTATTTAGAGGGCGGGAAGCCCTCCAACTTCCATGTCCTCTATGCAATTGATAGGTGCTTCAGGTTGAAGGAATCAAACATTCTTATACTTGGATATGAAAGGCTGATAGTTTCATCCTCCTATATATATTAAAAATTTTGAAGGGCATTGCTGAACTAAATATATTTTAAAATCACAGGTCTGCCTTGCTGAGCATCTGATTCCTGAGCTAACTCCAAGTTTTTTGTACTTCATTTCTTACTCCTGAATCTATAAATCTTTCAAAAACTTCCAAATACAAGTTTTCAAATGGGGAAAGAGAATGTCTGATGCAGAATTGTGTAAGCACAAATCATGTAATTCAGAAACTACTTGTTTTTAAATCTGAAAGGAAATTTGCGTACATTTTTCAGAATGCTATTTACAAACAAAAGTTAATTTTTGAAGCTTTCTTGAAAATTTTAGATAGCATTCTCTGAAGGTATGGGGTGGACGAAGTTTTGTTTTTTAAGAGTTTAGAAAATATTTTACGCTTAAATTAAACCCTTTAAATCTCTTGGATGAGACTGTCTTCAATTAATCTCTGACAGTTTTCAGATCACTTTTCATATCTTTTGTAATTTTCTTGGAGTTCTAAATGAAATATGCTAAAATGTATAAGTAATGTTTTGAACACCCAGGAATTATATTTGTCAAACTTAAAACTTGTATTATAAAAAACCCCAAATTAATTACAATTTAAGGTTTATAAAAGGTGTTAGTTACATTTACTGAGAAGGGTTCATTGTTGAGGTCTTAAAATTCCTTTTCTAAGCAGAGTTTATAGTAGTGCTTTACTGTAAACTTGTAACACAGATTTAAAGTTCCCTTTGTTAAAGGAAGAATTTATGGAAGTGTTAGTCTCTGAATAAAGTAGATATAAAGGGACAAAATGGGAGGATTGGCAGAAGCAACCTACATCAATAATCATGGAAAATCAGATGCACATTTGTCAAAGGAGTCTACATAGTCAAACTCCATTTAATTAAAAGAGACTATGTATCTGTAATGTATAACAATAGCTTAAAAGATGAAATGACATTCTTAAACAATAAAAATACATCATTTTTCTAGTCATTCACACAACTTTAATGCATTTGTAAGAAAGGATTCAGGAAAGTTAAGTAATTTTTCCAAGTGGCAGAAAAATATCTGGTTGTAAATAGGTACTAACCAAATTCCTCCATATACATAGCTACTCCTAAATTATTACAGATGGTCCCTTTATTCTAAGATTAGAGATTAACCTGACTAGTTGTCTAAACCAAATTACAAATGTGTTTTTGGCAGTCTAGAATTTTGGGAAGGGGATGGCAGGGAGAAGATATTTTGATGACTTATTTCCAACATGCAAATGGTTGATTTAAATTGAACTCAAAATTGCCTTCTTAACAGTAAGCTCATTAAACAGGAAAATTACACTTTGCTTTGCATTAAGGAATCATAGAGGGCTTTGGTTCTTTGGAGAGATCTACAATTTGGGTTATCTTGCTATAAAATAAGGCCTCTCAAATGGTCCCTTCCAAAGTTTGAAATTATCCTTACTTTTCAAGTAATCAGGCATTTAGAACTCTCAATTTTTAGAATGAAAAGATTAATATCAAAGATTGGACTACTCTTTTCTATCAGCTTTCCAAGAGCCCTTAGTCACTGCATTCAGTCTAGTCTCCCTCGCCATCCGTGTCTATTAAGTTCCTGTATCATCTAGTGCTTAAGACCAGATCCTGAATTTCAAAACTAAGAAAACAGGATTATTTATGAAAGATATTCAACCAAGGTTTTCTGATCATTCTTCAGCTAAATAGAATACCCCATTATAAACATTCCAGTTTTCAAAAACTGTGTTAAATTCAAATTAGCTGGGGAAGGAATAGATAGGTGTGCATATGTGTGATAAAGTATAATTTACTGTTAATTGCAGACTCTAGGTAGTGGGTACATGGGTGTTTACTTTTTGTTACTAAATACATAACAATGTTAATAGAATGGGGAGAAATTAAGGCTGCTTTACTAGTTCACTGCAACATTATATATGAGGCATTTGCCAATAATTCAATAGGCTTACTTGTAGCATATAGCACAAATACATTAATCTTTTGAGGTGGTAAACTTGAGTCTCCTGAATGTTTTTCTTTGCATTTTCAGGTAAGCTGATTAGTTATATTTCTAAAACAACAGAACAACTCTAGTCAATGACTTAAACACCAAAGCCATTGTAAATAAGAAATGAAATTTTAGAGAAATGATAATGTATTTAAGCATTGGTTTATTCAGGAAATATGACAGCAGACACTTAATCTATACTAATAAAAGGGTAATATGCTAATTAGATCGGATAGACTGGACGTCTTCTGGACGCCCTTCCAGACAAAGTGGTGGGGGCAGAGGCAGAGGCAGTTAGGGGCGATCAGGCCAGCAGGGGAGCAGTTAGGGGCGATCAAGCAGGCAGGCAGAGGCAGTTAGGGGCGATCAGGCAAGCAGGCAGTGGGGTTAGAGGCGATCAGGCAAGCAGGCAGAGGGGTTAAGGGCGATCAGGCAGGCAGGCAGGTAAGCAGTTAGGAGCCAGTGATCCCAGATTGTCAGAGGGATGTCCGACTGCCAGTTTAGGCCCGATCCCGCAGTCGGACATCCCCCAAGGGGTCTCAGATTGGAGAGGGTGTAGGCCAGGCTGAGGGACGACAACCCCCCCGTGCACGAATTTTGTGCACCGGGCCTCTAGTGTTAACATAAATGTCAATGCTTAAAGAAGCTTTAATTAGGGGAGGATAAAGACATAGGTGGAAACTATAAAGATTCTGAAGGGGATTTATAATAATTGCCCATGGTTTTAGAGGACAATTAAAGAAATTACCTATAGTGGAATAACTTGAACTCCAGTGAATGTGATTCCCAAAAGAGAAGAGGATGGCTGAAGGGCTGGTTAGCAATGAAGTGACTAGGGAGTAGGAGGGCAAGGCAGTGTGCAATTCTTAACACTTGGCTGGTTCCTTCTCTTCAAAGCCTTTAATACTGAATGCCAGTGGAGCTAATGGAAAGCTAAAAGTGTTTAACATTATTCCTTAAGTGATGCAGTTCCACTTTCCATGACAGATACTCATATACTAGTAAAACCACAACCTGTTAGTCAAAATAGATGAGGGTAGACAAAGTGTGGTCACCAAAACCTTTTAAAGACTATCAGTATATTGGACTAATTACCGGCAGCTCAGAGCTCTATGTAAATTTTTCATCCATGTTTTTAAACAAACGTTTGAAATTATACGGTATAAAACAAAAAATGGTTAGACTTTATAAGTATTAAAAATTATAGTGAATATCCTATAAAGCTAGAATATTTCTAATTAAGCTACATTTAACATTTTAAGGTCAAATTTTAAGGTTTACTGACAATGATGAATATTAATGTTTTTCCTTAACTAGGGTTCTTATGAATTATATATTTTGCAATGTGTTAAAATAAATTTAAATAACATTCCCTCTCATTTTAAAAATATTAAACTACTCAGAAAGAGTCTGACCAGTCATATAGCTTAAGTTGATTTTGAAAAGGTCAACAACAACGTACTTTTTCTCAAGGTGTAAAGTATTACCACAAAGCAAATACTGTGTCACAAATATGATTGGAATGGTTAATTACCCCCCAAAATCCATTGAAATTTTTCTTACTATTAAAAGAAATACGCTATCACTTGGGTTTATGGCTATTTTATATTAGTTTTTGTTGAAATTAAAATCAACAGCATTGTAAATCCTATTATTAGGAGTAAGCTAAAAAAAACAAAAACAAAAAACAAACTAGAATGTAGTTATTTTAGAAAATGGTTGTAGCAAAGAATTCTGGTTTTCCTCAGCCTACCTCTATGAAGCTATTTCTAAAAAGCATTAGTACTTAGGCATTTAGTTCATCAAATTATACTCCTAAACTAGAGTAGTAATTTTTCTTGTTTCAATTAAATAAGCTGTAACACATTTAAAAATAGAAATGAACGTGCAATCAATCCATTTCTACACTAACTAGCTAGGCATTCTCTCATTTGAGAGAATGACCCTTGAAATTTTCTAAATGCATTCTGAAAGAACCTGTCATTCTTGATTTTAATTTGTAATCTATTTTATAAGCTAGTTTATAAAACAACAGGTATAGGTTAAATATTGAATTATGTGAACCAAATATACACTTAAAAAATAGTAATTATCAACCAACCCACTGAGCATCTATCTACCTCCACAAATTGGTATTTATGTTCATAAGTTTAGGTTGCGGTATATTCCTAGAATATAAATTCAGGAAAGACTATAAAACAATTCAGAGAAAAATACTACTATCAAAGTACTGTTTTAACTTGAGAGAAGTTGAATCAACGTAAATATCTTAACACTTCTATCAGGGAATACTACATTTCTAAAATGGTTTATAACTCCATTATCTTTATACTTAATTTGTGAACACCTTTTAAAAGATATACAAGATATAAATTTTCCAGAGGGCCTAAATCAATCTGGTAGGCCAATTCCCAAGTTAATGCAATGATCCTAAATACCCTATTTTTTTTAATTGAGAGTGATTTTGATGTTAAGTTGCATAATCATTTATTACTTGAAAATGTTTCCTAATCAAATACATATGAGTTCTGACTCAAACGCACACATCTCACTGAACTACTGATTCTTAAACTCTTGGGAGCCATGGACTTGTTTGAAAATCCACAGTGCCTAAACCTGAAGGTTTGGTTTCATGACAGATTATGATCCTCTGCACCAGAAGTAGCATATATTTATCTATATAAGACCTCAAATATGCTCCCACCGTTTGGAAAATTAATTTTTAACTCTAAGAAATCACAATTTTAATGTAGTTTAGAAGTATTACAAAAATATTTCTAAATGCTTATTCCTTTAAACTTTGACTAATTTTGCTTTTTGCAATGGGATTAGAATAAAGGCAGGAATTCTTATTTGTAATATAACAACAGTATGTCTTAGAATAGTTGTATCTCACGTAAACACTACAAATAATATCTAAAGTCCTGAAATAAGATAATTCACATTTAAAAATAAATTAGCCCAGTGGCATAAGATTAAATCCTAAACTCCAAATAAAAAATTTGGCATTATCCCCCATTATCTGTTTGCAGATGCAAATATCAGCTGCTATATAGAAACTGTATATTACTCATGGGGAGAAAGAAAACAAGCAGGGGTAGTGGCCATCTTTATTTTCTTTGTCATTAACTTACCCTCTATCATTGTAAACAAATGGAGGTAGGTAGTGCCCTACACTAAACTTGGGAAGTAACTGAGTCAACATATTATCTTTAAAGAAAATTATTACAGATGTGTAAAACATTTGCTTTATTTATTAACAATCTTACACTAAGTATCCTTTCTTAAGTACTCCAAGAAATAATTCTGTAACAAAAGTGAACCCTAGAGTAGATATACCCAAAAGATAATTTTCCTGGGTACCAGTACAATTTGTAGTCAATTTCCACTCAGAGTCACTGAACCTATTTTCATTAAAGCCTATAACAATTTATTTTTAATTCTCTTTTCCATCTAAACATTACCTTAGTTTAGCATATATCTGTCAAAGACTATTCTATTCCAAAAAGGCAAAGCATAGTAGTCAGGGAGAGGCAGTCTAGAGCCCAGCCACCCGCCAGCTCCAAAGTCTTAATAGCTGTTGACCTTATGCATGTCCTTTAACTTCTCTGCATCTCACTTCTGTATCTGCAGTGGTATTTACCTCATAAAGCTATTGTGGTGATGAGGGAATAATGTAAAACTTACAGAACAGTGCCAAGTGCATAGTTATATACTCAAAAAAGTATGAACTACTATCATTCCAGTTTTTCCATCAAACCAAATAGCATCCTCCTAACCAGCCTAGGGATCACAATTTGGAAAACCAAATGAGATGTAAATGTAAGGATTCAGCATGTTCAGAAACATTGCCTTATCAAATTATTAAAATAATGGCTAAATGCTTAGTAAAGACACTACAATCAAATCCTTGTATTTGGTATCCCTGTATATGTAAACCCAAACATTTATTTAGAAAATATAAAAAGTTACTATTAATAATTGTCTTGCTCTTTTTTCAGACTGTCTTTTAAATTTTCAATAGTGCCACATAATTTTGAAACTAAATTTTATTACAAATGAACATGAACTTCAAAGAGTTGTAGTACTGAAGTAACTTCTGCTATGATTAGAGAATTTCTACTCAGGAAGTACAGTATACATGAATTTGTGGTACTTGCCCAAATATTACAAGTATATAAATCATTTTGTAAAGTTGTTTCTTACACATAGGATCTAAAATTCAAAGAAAAATGGAATTTGTATTCAAAACAAATAGAAGCAACACTGGCTTCTATATGCTAAATCTATAAGACAAATTTTTTTCTTAAGCACTCTAGATACAAATATTAACTGTATGGGCTGAAAACTTTTTAATTTTCAATGTAATTCAACAAGGTACACAAGTAGAACTCTATAAATATATCCCCTATAAGAATCATATTTATCACAAATACTACCAAAACCCTCTGAAAAACATAAACTACAAACACATTTTAAAGAAATTCTCATTTTTAACAACTACAAAAGCAATGAATAGCAATAAAGTTATTTGGTTTAAAAAACGAAGGGCAGTGTAATGTAAATACAAGTACTGGATTGTTTTTGAGGATGCAGTCTTGAGTTTCTTAATACAACTAAACACTTCCAAAAGTAGTAAGACATACTCTATACAATTTAAAGGCTTGACCTAAAGCTCTAAAAAGAAAAATTAAGCAGTAGATGAAAAGTAGGTATGTAGAAATAATGGTATAAAATATTATTTTTATACAATGGGTACCACCCTTTAAAGAGATAAGGCTTAATATGATTATTTTTGGATTATGAGTGTTGCCCACAATTTTTATAGTAGTCTCAAACCATTCAAAATTCAGTATTCAAAAAATGTTTTGCTATTTCTGAAGTGACTGAATATAGTACAGGATGCAATTTAATGTCAACTTACCTATGCTTTTCCACCCAATAAAAATAAAACCTTTTTTGAGCTTAGGAGAGAATCTATCTTTTGAATGATTGATCTCTATATAAATTCAACTTTTAGGGATGTCAGAATTTTGTAATATGAACTAATCTCCACTGAGAATTGGCCCAAGTTTAAACAGAAGACACAAAAGAGACATAGGTGTCAAACAGTTTAAGTCTGCCCTATGCAATTATATAGTCATAATTACTTTTTACATGAAAGAGATTTAAAGTAAAAAATATTTTTATAAAAGGTATTACTAATATTACTAACTAATACAGTAGTCCCCCCTTATCTGTGGTTTTCCTTTCCACGGTTTCAGTTATGCATGATCAACTGTGATCTAAAAATATTAAATGGAAAATTCCAGAAATGAACAATTCCTAAGTTTTAAATTGCATGCAGTTCTGAGTACTTCATCTCATCATGTAGGCATTGTAATCTCAAAAGAGTGAGGCCAGTACAATATTTTGAGAGATCACATTCACATACCTTTTATTATAGTATATTATTATGTCTATTTTATTATTGTTGTTTATATCTCACTGCGCCTAATTATAAATTAATCATGATCATAGGTATGTGTGTATAGAGGAAAACAGTCTATATAGAGTTTGGTACAATCTGTGGTTTCAAGCATCGAACAAGGAGGGTTTTGAACATATCTCCATGGAGACGGGGGAACTACTGTACTTATATCAAAGTAGAATTTTCTAAGTTAGTTCCATTTTACGCATTTCCTTTGAAAAGTACCCTTCTGCCACAATGTAAACAAAAATGGTCCATCAAATGGTAACATTAGACATCAAAATTTGTGGTGTGGGCCCTTAAATGGAGACCAAATCTTTATTAACTCAAAGCTAGAGAGGTTTTGTTTCTTGTACATGCCCAGAGGTAACTAATATTAACTCACATTTTCTGTAAGCCTTGAAGAATTTTTATTTAACATAATGAGAGGTTTAATAACTTAGATTAAAGACTATCTTGCACTCTTCTCTTGTTGTTCACCAACTGTTTTTATGACGATAACTCCGAGATCTAGAATGTGATCGAAAATGAGAGTGTTTTGCTGTCTGTGCTTTTGTTTCAGAATTGGTATACCCTTTAGGAGATTTACATGGGGATCTTACTATGGAGTCAGAATGTCTTCCATGTGATCTTGATTTTGTTCCTGAGCTAGTCTGCTTTTGAGGTGAACTTGATTGTGATTTTCCTATTGATTTTGATCTTTTTTCTAAGGACTTGGACCTGGACCGTCCTCTAGAACCAGAATTCCGTCTTGGAGTTCTTGACGGCCTTGCTGAGGTAGACCGCCTTGGTAGTGACTTGGAGCGAGATTTAGACTGGCTATAAGAAAGTCGCCTGTGTCGAGACCTGCAAACATCCACAATGTTAGAGTATATATTTCACACAAAAGCAGTTAATAGATTAGGAAAAAACACTTGCAGGAAATTATATACTTCAGATAATATTAGTTATGTTTTTATTGGCTAAGTTAAAAGAAATAATTCTAATTTTATTATGCATGCTTTTGGTTCAAACATAACAAGTTTGTAATACTCGTTATATAGAATATATAACCAAAAGATATTTACTTTGCTACATACTAGTAATTCTTATGACATGGGTCAGTTCTGAAAAATACCCTGCATATTTAGTATGGGTTACACAACTCCCAAGAGGTATGAAAATCTAAAGAAAAAAATGTAAAGAGAGAGGGAAAGAAAATAATTATTTAAAGTTTATCAAATAATGCTTGTAACAACAAAAATTTAGATGCAGGACTTCTGAATTCTACCATGATAAAACAGCTTGTACTAGATTAATCTTCCCATAGAAATTAACTATATAAAAAAGGTAGACAAATGATGATGGAAGGAGACTTAACTCGGGGTGGTGAACAAATGATACAATATACAGAGATGTATTATAGAATTACACACCTGAAACCCATATACTTTTATTAACCAATGTCACTCCAATAAATTCAATTTTAAAAAGAGTAAAAGAGCTCCAGCCAGTGTGACTCAGTGGTTGAGCACTGACCTATGAACCAGGAGGTTATGGTTCAATTCCAGTCAGGACACATGCCCGGGTTGTGGGCTTGATCCACAGTAGGAGGCGTGCAGGAGGCAGCCGATCAATGATTCTGTCTCATCACTGATGTTTCTATCTCTCCCTCTCCCTTCCCCTCTGAAATCAATAAAAATATATTTAAAAATAAACAAAACAATTAAGAGAAAAAAGTAAATAACATTTATAAAACAACTGTGGGGAATAACCAACACAAGCAGAACTTGAGGGGTTGTAAGCCATGGTTTGTTTTTGTTTTATTTTGTTTGTACTTCTATTGATTTTATAAAGGAAGGGAGAGGGAGAAAGAGAGGGAAACATCAATGATGAGAATCATTGATTGGCTGCCTCCAAAACGCCCCACACAGGGGACTGAGCCCACAACCTCAGCATTTGCGCTGGCTGGGAATAGAACCGTGACCTCCTGGTTCATAGGTTGTCACTCAACCCCTGAGCCGAGCCAGCTAGGCAAGCCGTGGTTCTCTTACTCAGACCATTTTCTTAATAACAGCATTGGAAATAGAGCCCAACTAGAAAATGGTTATTTGACTAAGCTGAAGAGACAGAGGTTAGAATTCAGGGCTACCAAAGTGGCTGAGACTTGAGAGGCAAAATCCAAGAGATGAGAGAATTACAGACAAAAACAAAGCATAAAAAACCCTAAATTCTGCTTACAAATTCTCAAGTCACTGGCCATCTTCTAAACTGTGCATGCCCAGGATGAGACTCCCAAGAGGTCAGAAAAACTGCAGCTGCACCCTAGCCCAGTGATGGCGAACCTACGACATGCGTGACTTTTCTTTGTTAAATGGCATTTAAATATATAAAATAAATATCAAAAATATAAATCTTTGTTTTACTACGGTTGCAAATATCAAAAAACTTCTATACAGCGGGGCCTTGACTTACGAGTTTTTTGAGATACCAGCTGTCTCTCGGCCAATTTTTTTGCATCGGGTTGATAGAGTAATTTGAGTTAACGAGCTCCTTAACGAGCTCGGTCTCGGAACGAATTAAACTCGTAAGTTAAGGCCCCACTGTATGTGACACGGCACCAGAGTTAAGTTAGGGTTTTTCAAAATGCTGCCACGCCGAGCTCAAAAGGTTCGCCATCACTGCCCTAGCCGGTTTGGTTCAGTGGGCAGAACGCTGGCCCACGGACTGAAGGGTCTCAGGTGGGATTCTGATCAGACCCGGCAGCAGACTCAATGCCCCGCCCTGGTCCGGGCATGTGTAGGAGGAGGCAACCAATGGTGACACGAGCATGTTTCTCTCTCCCCCCTTCCCCTTCCATTTGTTGTAAAAATCAATGTCCCCATATATGTTAGTTACTCTTTCACAATTGCCTCTCTTTGTTCAACCTAATTTAAAATCATGTAGATGCTGCCACTCATTTGGTTCTTCATTTTTTAACGAGGGCGCCTGTGTCAGGTGAACTGGGTTAAATAAATGTGAATGCTTTTATACTGTGAAACCGGATCTGCCAATTTTCTTCTCAGGCCCAGCCGCAGACCCTAACAGGCAGAAGAGTTTTGCCTCTACATACCCCACCAGCGCCCGTGATACTACAATTGCTGCAGAGTTGTTTTGCGCAGAGGGTCTAGCCAAAAGGGCAGAAACGGAAAAAAATTATTCGTTCTCTAAAAAGAAGGGAGGAGCACTCGGTTTCTTAGGAAATCCAGGGTGAATGCTGCTCTCCTTTATGCCGAGAGCTGCAGACAGTCGCGGTGAAGCCCGCGTTGAGACCCCCATCTACACCGGGCACCTGCCCCGGAGAAGATCGGCCGGGATGGGGGGACACTCAGCCCCTGGGCCAAGCCGGCCGTGGTTCTTTCACTCAGACCATTTTCTTAATAGCAGCACTGGGGGTATCGCGCACGGAAGACTCTCATAACAGATCCACGCCAGGACCAGGGCCCGCCAAGGCGAGGAATTTAAAACTCCCCCAGCTGCGGCTGTCTTCCGGCTGGTCGCCAGGCCTAAGTAGAGCGAATGTATCTGCTTCAAGTATCAGAGTGACGTAGGTGACCAGAGGCGGGGATATGTAGATGAGCACAGCGCGGTGACTGCTGGTTCGAGTGTATTAACGGAGCAAAATTTCCTCTGGATATCCAGAAGAACGTATCTTAGTTTCTGTCATATAAATAACACTGCAACTTAGAGTCGAAGGGCAAAAGAACGCTCAATATAATTAACCATGACCTTAAAGTGTGTTGAGGATGATGGTGATGTGCCAGGAAGGCTCCTCACCTCATACTTACCTGGCAGGGGAGATACCATGATCACGAAGGTGGTTTCCCCAGGGCGAGGCTTACCCATTGCACTCCGGGTATGCTGACCCCTGCGATTTCCCCAAATGTGGGAAACTCGACTGCATAATTTGTGGTAGTGGGGGACTGCGTTCGCGCTCTCCCCTGGTCAACTGTTTTACAAAGATAGCGTTTGTGCCCGGTAACCTTGGTGTCTTTTTTTCAATTAGACACAACAAGGCTGTGCAGGAGTGATTACTGCTCCTGTTGGTTCATTTACATGTTCCCCCGGGGAGAATGCTCCACCAACCGAGGTACCTTACTGGATTCCTATTTAAGTTTTCACTGTAATTGTGGAATGGTTGTTATGTAGAAGGAGAACTATTGAGTATAAAGTATTGAAATGTGCTTGTAGCTGAAAAGCCCCGTGGAAACCAGGTGTTGGTGAAGATCTGGAAAAACTGGAATTCCTGTGCACTGCTGGTGGGAAAACGAAGTGGAATGATGCCTATAGGAAATGTATGGCAGTTCCTAAAAAAAAAAAATATAAGTATGCAGTTTTCATATGATCCAGCGATTTTACTTCTGGATGTATACACAAAATAATTGAAAACGGATTTGAAGAGCTATTTGTACATTCCTGTTACTAGCTGGCAGCATTATTCACAATAGCCAAAGGTGGGGGTAAAAAGAAATAAAAATAAATGGAAAAATATCCTCAGGTGAGGATTTACAAAAAAAAAACAAAAAACAAAAACCTGCTGCTGAAAGACTGAATAACTGAGCTGAAATTTTATCAGAGACATACTGCTGGGGACAGACTAGAGTTCAAGACTCCGAAAGGTCAAGGAGTCTTAAGTAAGAGCCCAGCTTTCCAATTAAAAACCCAGAAGGGCAGTATCCTACAGGTAAAGACCAGGCCCTAGGAATAAACGTGAAGCTAAATAAATCAGCCTTATCAATGCCTCAAACTAAGCCTTGAAAGGGTCAAGGTGATCTGCCAATACTCTGCCTGCTAGAAGAAAACAACTTTCTTTGGAGGATGGTAGCATCCAAAGTTTCTATAATTTTTCATTAACATCCAATACAAAATTATAAGGTATGTGAAAAATAGATTAAAATGATTAAAAACTAACAAAAAAAAAGATAAAATAACTACACCCAAAATAATTTGGTATTATTGTTATTCAGACAGGAATTTTAAAAATTACTATGACTAACATGTTTTAAAAAAATAAGAGAAAAAGACAAAATAGATGAAAAAGATAGAAAATTTCAAAAGAATTTTGGAGTCTATAAAAAGAAACAAATGGATATTTTAGAACTAAAATATATATATCTGAAGTTAAAGTCACTAAATGGATTTAACAGCAGTCTAGATACAACAAGAAATAGTGAACTGAACTGAAAAACAGATTATTAGAAAAATATTATACTGAAACACAGTAAGAGAAAAGGAATTTTATGAAATCCAGAACAGAACATAAAAGATATTTAGAACATAGTCACATGGCCAAAAGGACAAACTGAATAAGGCAGAAGTATATCTGAAGAGATAATGCCCTAAAATTTCTGAAACGAATAAAAAGCATCAACTCACAATTTTGAAAAGCTCAATAACCCAGGTAGAATAAGTACAAAGAAAACTACACCAGGTATCTTTATATATAAAACCCTAATATGCAAATAGAACAGCGGAACAACTGAACAACCAAACAACCGGTCGCTGTGACGTGCACTGACCACCAGAGGGCACATGCAGAACATGGCAGGCATCAGATGCAGTGGGATGGTGGAGCAGGTGAGTGGGGCAGCCAAACCAAGGCCAGTCCCAATTGCCCCTGAGGGCTTCTCCATTTCCCCCTGCTCTTGAGGGGCGATCAGGGCTGGCAGCCACCTCTCGTACCTGCTGCCAGGGACAGCCCCACTTGCACCTGCTGACAGCACTGGCCCCACTCGCACCCACTGCTGGCACTGGCCCCAGTCGCTCCACACTGTCAGCAGGAGCGGGGCCGGCGCCATCAGTGAGTGGGAGCAGTGGTGGCAGAAGTGGGGCTGCCAGCAGATGGGACTGGGGGCCGCAGCAGGAGGGGCCAGGCGGGGGCAAAGAGGGTGGGCCAAGACCCACCCCTGTGCCCCACCACAGCCTTGCAGCCCACAGTTCCTTTTAAGGTGCACAAATTCGTGCACTTGGCCCCTAGTATCACAATGAAACTGCAGAAAACAAAGCCAGAGAGAAAAATATGGAAATCTGCTAAAGAATAAAAGACATTACCTTCAAAGAAGCAACATTAAGAATTCCAGCTGACTATGGATATTAGAAAAACAATGGAATGATATTTAAAAAGAAAGGGGGAAAAAAGTCTTTACCAACCTAGAAATCCATCCCCAGCAAAAATATACTTCAAACATTAATATGAAATGAAGATGTTTCAGACAAACAAAAGCTGAAAGAATTCATTGCCAGCAGACCTATACTATATATAAAATATACTAAAAAATTTTTAAATGAAGAAAAATAACCTTAAACAAAAGCATGGAATTACAGGAAAGAATATAGAGCACTGAAAAGTATGAATATATTGATCTAGAATATATTCTGGAATAAAAGCAGTCTTTTAGAAATTATTAAATTTCATTCCTGTGGTACATAGTTCTAGAAAAAAAATAAAAAAACAGAACACTGTCCTTGAAAAAAAAACCTAACATGGAAAAAAAGATGCTATTTTAACATTCTTTGAGCTAGGGACTACTGCTAAATGCTAGGGATACAAGCCTGAATAAGACAGAAGTCCTTGCTCCTCAAAGAGCTCATAGTCTACTAATAGCAACAAACTAGCTTCCCACCCCCCCCACCCCCACATCTACTAAAGGCAAAATAAGAGACGTGTTTTTAGTCCAAAGTAATATCACATATACTGTATATATGTACAGTGCATGTTTGGTTTATATGTATTCTCTCTCACATGAACACACACATGTAAAATCTGATCTTTGTGAATACTTTGAGAGCTAGGTAAGATATACATTCTCTATAATATAATTTTACAGATTAAAAAAACCGAGGTCTGCCGAAACCGGTTTGGCTCAGTGGATAGAGCGTCGGCCTGCGGACTGAAAGGTCCCAGGTTCGATTCCGGTCAAGGGCATGTACCTTGGTTGCGGGCATATCCCCAGTAGATGTGCAGGAGGCAGCTGATCGATGTTTCTCTCTCATCGATGTTTCTAACTCTCTATCTCTCTCCCTTCCTCTCTGTAAAAAATCAATAAAATATATTAAAAAAATAAAAATAAAAAAAACGAGGTCGGTGAGGTTAAGCAATGACCTTATAACTAATACAAAGCTACTCCATCATGATTTGGAACAAAAGACGTTTTTTTGTTTGTTTGTTTTTCTCCAGCTAAGTATTATACTTTACTTCAACTAGAAGATGGTTAACTAAGGCTCTAATGTATTTGGAAATAATGTATTCTTAATGAATGAAAATGGACAACTTGTTTTCTTTTATAAACTAAGTCTATCTACCAAGACCACTGGATATTCAGTATGTCAAGACAGTGCTGCTTTAAGCACAATATTATATCTACTTTGAACTTTGATATATAAGACTTTCATTTTATGTGTACACTAGCCACATCATTATAAATGTATGATAAATTATACATGTATTGTTTATATATAGTCTATACATGTATAGTATATATAATAGTATAGAGAGATATATAAAATTCACAGTGAATGAACTGTTGAACATCACTCCCGTACACTATTCATGTCCCCTGTGAAGCCAGAAGCAATACCAATGGTATTAGTTGTGGATGTAGTTCTCTCTTCCTATTTTCCCTTCCACTTGGCTGGAAGGATTGGTGCCAGGCCACTTGGAGCGAAGACTCTCTCACCAGCTCTAGTACATATATCCTATTTTGAGCTTTTTTTTTTGTCTAGGCTCTTAAGAGTTGAGGAATGGAGTCCTGGCCAGTGTGCTCAGTGGATTGGAGTACCATCCTGTACACCAAAAGGTTGTGGGTTCAATACCCTGTCGGGGTGTGTATGGGACATAGCTGATGGATGTTTCTCTCTCTCTCTCTCTCTCTCTCTCTCTCTCTCTCTCTCTCTCTCTCTCTCTTCCCCATCTTTAAAATCAATAAACATATCCTCGGGTGAGAATTTTTTTTAAAAAAAGAGAAAGAAATGTAGCTAGTGTAATGGAGAGACTGAATTTTAGAAAGAGTTGAAGAATGGAGGGACTAGAGTGAAAGTGAACAGCCCTGGTGATCGTCTTTGATTTGAAATTCAGTGGGCCTATATAGCTTAGGTATACTATATACAGTCCAGGAGAGCTCACTCTTATTTACTAGAGGATACAAGTCTAAATATTGATCATTCTTTAAGAACAGAATTCACGGCGAGGCCCTCAGTAGACAGAGAAGTGCAGACGGAATTGGAACCTCCTGCTTCAGCGAGATCATGTTTCTCCAGTATCACCTCAATGAACAGGGAGACCGGGTCTATACCCTGAAGAAGTTTGATCCTATTGGACAACAGACCTGCTCGGCCCATCCGGCTCGGTTCTCCCCAGACGACAAATACTCTCGACACCGAGCCACCATCAAGAAACATTTCAAGGAAGGTCCCTTAAATTTCATGTCTCTCCTGCCACCTGAAACCCCTCTGAGACTTTTCCAAAACCAAGCTTTTCAGTCTGTGAGCCTTGAGGCCTTCTTACCACCCTTGCTCTTTGGAATCGGTGTCATCATTACCTTAGATCAGTGATGGCGAACCTTTTGAGCTCGGCGTGTCAGCATTTTGAAAAACTCTAACTTAACTCTGGTGCCGTGTCACATACAGAAATTTTTGATATTTGCAACCATAGTAAAACAAAGACTTATATTTTTGATATTTATTTTATATATTTAAATGCCATTTAACAAAGAAAAATCAACCAAAAAAATGAGTTTGCGTGTCACCTGACACGCGTGTCATAGGTTCGCCATCACTGCCTTAGATCATGCTTGTGTGAAGCAATCATGGTAGCACCCCCCTTAAAGTAAACAAGTTTGAGTCTGCTTTTCGTATTTTGACTGCCACGTTATTAAAATGATTTGAAAGAGAAAAAAAAAAAGAACAGAATTCACTTTAAAATTTCTATAAAAAATTCTCTATGAAAAAATTTCAGCATTAAAACTCAGAAAAATAGTACAAAGTTTTAAAAACTTAGGCATGCTAATACAATTTGTTATTATTTAAATAATTTCACCAAGTAATTAATTTCCATTGTGATTTACTATTATTCTAACAGAAACAAACAACTGGATAGCAAAATAGGGAACCTGCAAATATCTTTTTCTGAAAAATTTACTATTCTTATGTCTTCCTATAATACTACCATACTTGGAATTTATTTTTAAAATCACTAACTTTTTATAAATATATTTATTTACATTAATTTTAATGTCAACCACCATCCCTTCTTATGAGCTTTTAATCACTAGCCACATTGGTATGAGAAAAACATTCTTTAAATCACTTTAAAAATATGTTTTTACTAATTTTTAGAAGGGAGAGGACAGAGATAAGCATCGATGTGAGAGCGTAACATCAAATAGCTGCCCCCTGCACACCCCATGCCGGGGATCAAGCCTGTAATCTAGGCATGTGCCCTGACGGAGGAATCCAAATGGCAACCCTTTGGTGCACAGGACAATGCCCAACCAACTGAGCCACACCAGCCAAAGGAGAACTTAACATTCTTAATTGTTGGATTCATTTAGGAAATTTTTATTTAGTTAACATTCCTCATTTCTATTTGCCAAATATATATTTTTTAATATGTTGCTTTTTTCACTATGTATTATCTTTCCATTCAAAAAATTGAGTCCCGAGAAGAAACAGAAGAAAAAAATAAATGAAAAGCTTAATATTGGGAGGTATTCAATAAGCGTAAATTAATCTTTCTATAAAAGATGATTCTTTATGAATATTATTCTGGTGGCCTGGTTTTTCTGTACATGTGTGTGTTGTTTTTTTTAAATAATATTTTATTGATTTCAGAGAGGAAGGAATAGAGAGACGGAAACATCAATGATGAGAGAGAATCATTGATCGGCTGCCTCCTGCAGACCCCTTACTGGGGGATCGAACCCGCAACCCAGTTATGTGCCCTGACCGGCAATTGAACTGTGATTTCCTGGTTCATAGGTCGATGCTCAACCACTGAGCCACACTGACCGGGCTCAAAGCTCCTTAAAAGGTTTTCCAGCCTGGGCTGATATGGCTCAGTAGATTGAGCATCTGTCTGCAGGCCAAAGGGTCCCGGGTTCAATTTCGGTCAAGGGCACATACCTTGTTTGCAGGCTCCTCCCCAGCCTGGGCCCTGGTTGGGCACATGCAGGAGGCAACCAACCAATGTGTTTCTCTAACATCGATGTTTCTCTCTGTCTTTCCCCCTCTCTTCCACTCTCTCTAATAGATCAATGAAAAAATATCCTTGGGTGAGGATTAACAAAAACAAACAAAAAAATGTTTTCCAGAAAAAGTAGAAAATTAAGTTTTCAATACTCTTGTATTTGATACTCACTCTTTAAGGCTATCAGACCGCCTCCTATTTCTTCCCCATGAAGAACTTCTACTTCGAGTTCTCCGTTGGCTGGGGCTTCTTGACCTCCTATGGTCACTTGGAGAACAAGGGTGACGTTCTTTTGATTTCATTTGGCCTGGTGCTAGAATATGAAGTGCAAGACCTCAGTCACAACCGCTCAAATCGTATTATTTTCTAAAAGAATTTTAAACTAAAAAATCTGTCATTGCTAAAATTCATTCTGCTGAATAAACAAGATCTAACATTTAGTCACACTTACTTTTGCGGTCACCTTGTGCAAACTGTATTTCAATTTGACGGCCACATACCCATTTTCTATTGAGGTTATAAAGAGCATCTTCAGCATCTCGAACATCTTCAAATATGACTAGCTGTTAAGGACACTTTGAATGTCAGATATTAAGTAAAAATGTTATTTTAAAAGAATTATTTAGGTGACAGAAAATTAATAGAGAAAACAAGTTCAAGTTATTAAGTTCACATCTACAATATAATATGAATCAAAAAAAATTTTACTTTCATTATGAAAACAAATGCTCATTATGATTTAAAAGAATGAATCTAAAAATAAAAAACGTGCAACTATATTTTAAATGTATACATTAGTATAAATGTATAATTTATGCTGTATAAATGTATAATTTCAAACATGTAATGAGAACAAAATACTAGTAAGTCCAACACTGCCCTTCTCTCAGGTAAAAAATTCATCAGGTTTTTCACTAAAAGAAATCAGCATGCAGAAGCCTGTATTCTGAATTTAAATTACTCTTTTCAGCAAAAAGCTTTTTAATTATGATATTTTGGAGCAATTACTTATAAACAAAATGCACACACATAACTGAGCTAAAACACATTTTCAAAACTGATTTAGTTCTTTAAAAATGATATTTACCTTTGAACCTACTGCTTTAAAATACCTTTATACTTTTATTACTTGGGGTATAAAAACATAGAAGTAATCTGTAAACGTATGGAATTACATATATTGGTTGGTAATAACCCACTAAACTCCCTTATCTATGTAAATTATATATTAAACCTAACTAAAATAGAAATAAGCTATATAAAATGAAGAGCCGTATTTTAGGAGGTTATTCACTGGTTTAATTTTTTTTTAATAGAAAACAGAAAAAGCCAAGAAATGCAATACAATATGAGACTTTGGCAATTACCTCAATGTCACTTGATCTTGAACCTTGACCTTTACTCTTTAAGGCTTGCAAGATGTACTTTAAAAGAGACGAAGAACCAACAAAATCAGACTTGGCTTTGACTCTGGAACTCTGAGTAAATGTAGGAAAGCCGAAGTCTCAACCTGGTGTTGGCTTTGTCTTTTGCTTGATAAAGACTTCCCTCTTCCAGGTCTTTATCTCTGTGTCCACCCTCCCTCTTTACTCCTTGATGCTTGAACTTTAGGTGCCTTTTGTCTCGCCTGCTCGGTTTATGCTCGGATTCTAGCTAACAGGTTGGTTCAAACTGGGGGGCTCTTGCCAGCTACTGTGGACTGCTTTAGATTTTCTGAGATAAAGAAATAAACACATTTAATTAGGCAATATTAATCTCATAACATATGCTCCTGAATACATATATGTAATTTGCACATGTATGTAGTATATTCAAATGCACACAGTAAAATAAAGGATATTGAACATAAGCAAATCCTCTTGGGCGGCGGGTGTAGAAGTCAAGTGGAATGTAAACGTCTACTATAGGGCCATACCGACCAAACTCACGGCGCAAGTCCTCAGGCCTGAATTGTTTTAGAAATAAGGCAAAGAAATATGAGTAGCTGGATTAAAATATCATGCCTACAGAAATCCAGTTGAAACCCTCAAAAGAAAGTACATTCTCTGTACTAGCATTACCTAAAATTATCTCTCAGAAGACTCACCCAGGGTTCACAAGTGAAAGAGGGGGAAAAAGAAGAAAAATTCTCAGGCCTCCCTTTCAGAGATTCTGGTTCAAGAAGTCTGGATTAGAGGCTGGAAATCTATGTTTTTACAAGCACTCCAGGTGGCTGTCATGGATACTCAGGTTGGAGAAACAATGACCCACATCCACACCAAAGTTATTCCTATTACAAGATTTTTCAATGGTCATATAAACAGCCCTAACTATTAACTATTTCATTAGGAACACACTCATTTTCTTCATTAGAATTTCATGTTTATGTTAGATTTTGTTTTCAGAGCACAAAAATTAAAATTTAAAGAAGTCTTAAAATCTCTCGGCCACTGAACAGTGGTTGAACATCAACCTATGAACCAGGAGGTCACAGTTCAATTCCCAGTCAGGACACATGCCCAGGGTTGCAGGCTTGATCCCCAGTATGGGGCGTGCAGGAAGCAGCCGATCAATGACTCTCTTTCATTGATGTTTCTCTCTCTCTCTCCCTCTCACTTCCTTCCTGAAATCAATCAAAATATATATTTAAATAAGTCCTAAAATCATTTCTCAGGTTTTGAAGAAAAATGGGTATTTTACATTAAGCATAAAGCAAAATAACTACTATGTTCTCAAATTTGACAAGTATTTTTGAGCCTCCTATATGCCTTTTACTGTGACAGATATTAAAGAGGGGATACCCACGAAATACATAGCTTATCTGTCTTCATAGAGCTACAATTTAACTGAAGAGACAAAATACTTAGCATTGATATCTGACAGTTATGGTGCATTTATATGCTAGCTTCTGCTTGCCCTAACACCACTAATTCTCACAACTCTATGGTTGTTTACAGATGAGGGCACAGACAGATTAACTCACTATGGTCACTGAGCCAGCAAGTGACAGAACTGGAATCAAACTCTCACAGTCTGACACTAGTCTGTGTTCTTTTTATTTATTTTTTATTCATTGACTGATTTGAGAAAGAAAGAAACATTGATTTGTCATTACACTATTTGTGCATTCACTGGTTAATTCTTGTATGTGCCCTGACCAGGGAGGGATTGAGCCTGTAACCTTCACATATCAAGACAACACTCTAACTGAGCTAACCAATACTGTGCATTTCCTCATGGAAACCTTAAGAAATTCAGCACCAAGCTATAGGCACAAAACATGGCTTTTATTTTTTAAAAATATATTTTTATTGAGTTCAGAGAGGACGGGAAAGGGATAAAGAGAAACATCAATGATGACCCCAATACAACATTGTTCCTATAGTAACAGCAGAAAGAAGCAGCTGTGAGGAGCTCGGCTCCTCACAGTGAGGATCTGAGCTATGTGCAGGAACTCCCATTAATTGAGACTTTTCATTCTGTTTTATCAGAGTGCATATAGGTCTTATTTCAGGAAAAGTAAAACAGTCATTTACAAAAAAAATCAATTATCCTAAGCATTTTAATAAAAAGTTAAAACAAACAAAAATAAATTAATTTTTTTTTAAAAAAAGAAACATCAATGATGAGGAAGAGTCATCGATTGGCTGCCTCCTGCATGCCCCTCACTGGGGATCGAGCCTGCAACCCCAGCATGCATCCTGGCCAGGAACTGAACCAACAAACTCTTGGTGAATGGGTCAACCCTCAACTACTAGGCCACAGCTGGACCCTTTATAGTTTTATCTTTTACACTTCAACTGATAATCCAGTTCAAATTGTGATGTGAACTAGAAGTTACAGTTAATTTTTTCCCTTTATGGATATCCAGTTATTATGGCATCATTTGTTTAAAAGACTCCTTTCTCCACTAAATTGCTTTGATGCCTTTGTCAAAATCAATTGACTCTGTAAGTGTGGATTATTTATGGACTCTCTATTCCGTTCTATTGATCTACTTGTATGTCCTTAGGCCAGTATCACACTTTCTTGATTACTGTATCGCTTAGTAAGTCTTTAAGTCAGTAGTATAAGTCTTTCAGTTTCAGTAAGATTTTTCAAGACTCTGGCTATTCTAGATCCTTACACTTTTAGAATTAACTTGTTAGCTTCTATATTTTAAAAAGCCTGTGATCAGGAATGCTTTGAATCTATAATATAATCAGTTTGGGAGAAAAATTAAAAACTCAGTATTTTGTCTTTTAATCCAAGAACATGGTATATCTATCAATTTATGTTGGTCTTTTTATTTATTTCATTTTTATTTGATTTTTATAAAGAGAAAATATCAATTTGTTTTTCCACTCATTTGTGCATTCACTGGTTGCTTCTTGTATATGCCTTGACTGGGTTTTGAACCTACAACCTTAGTATACTGGGAGGATGCTCTAACCAACTGAACTATCCAGCCAGCACTTATGTTGGTCTTTTTAATTTCTCTTGGCAATATGTTGTTGTTTTCAGTGTAAAGATTTGTTGTTGTTGTTAATCCTCACCAGATATATTTTTTTTAGAGAGAGTGGAAGGGAGGAATAGTAGGGGAGAGGGAGAGAGAGGGAGAAAGAGATTGAGGGAGAGATTGCTGTGAGACACACATTGATTAGTTGCCTCCTATACATACCCTGATCGGGGCCAGGGATCGAATCTGCAACCCAGGTATGTGCCCTTGACCGGAAATCGAACCTGGGACCCTTTGATACATGGGCCGACACTCTAACCCAGCCGTGGGCAAACTACGGCCCGGATCCGGCCCGTTTGAAATGAATAAAACTAAAAAAAAAAAAAAGACCGTACCCTTTTATGTAATGATGTTTACTTTGAATTTATATTAGTTCACACAAACACTCCATCCATGCTTTTGTTCCGGCCCTCCGGTCCAGTTTAAGAACCCATTGTGGCCCTCGAGTCAAAAAGTTTGCCCACCCCTGCAACCCCTGAGCAACTCTGGCCAGGGCTAATTTGCTTTTTTAATTTGCCTCATAGAGGGGTTGTGAACTCGATTCCCTATGTGCCCGACAGGGGATGAACATCCAACCTAGGTATGTGCCCTAATGGGGAATCGAACCAGTAATCTTTCGGTGTACTGGATAATGCGCCAACCAACTGACCACCCAGCCAGGGCTTATTAGTTGATTCTTGTATGTGCCCTGACAGGATGGATCCCACAAGTGGGCGTATGGAGATGATTCTCTAACCTGCGCTATTCAGCCAGGGCTCAGTGCAAAGTTTTAACATTTTGGTTTGTTGTTGTTAAAATGGTTTGTTGTTGTTATTCTTAAGTATGTTTTTGACATTAACATAAATGGAATTTAAAAAATATTTTACTATTTTCAATTATTTGTTGTTAATATATAGAAATAAAATTTTATTAAGTTTACCTTGTATCCTGATATGTTATTAAAACTGATTATTAGTTATCATAGTTTTATGTAAACAAACATGTCATCTAAGAATAGGGACAGGTTTTACTTCTTATAATTTTTATGTCTTTTATTAACTTTTCTTGCCTTGCTGCACTGGCTAGGATCTGCAATAAAATGCTGAATGGAGGTTGTGAGCATGGGCATCCTTGTCTTGATCTGATATTAGGGAGAAAGCATTCAATTTTTACCATTAAGTATGGTGTTAGCTGTAACTTTTTCATAGGCTGAGGAAGTCCCCATTTATTTCTAGTTTGCTGATACTTGTTGAATTCATGAAATCTTGTTGAATTCTAATGCTTTTTTTTACATCACCATTAATGTTAACATCAATATAGTCTCAGATACACTGTAACCAAAGAATATTACTAAGTATGTCCAAGAGAAGTACTGATCATTCCTCCCCAACCTAACATGATATTATACATCAAAATGGTAATGTTATATTTGGGATTTGACATTACTTTGTTCCATTAGAAAACTGTATTGGAGATTTTTAAAAAATTACTCTTCTACACAATAAGAAAGCAAAGATATTAAAATTAATATTCTGCCCTAACCGGTTTGGCTCAGTGGATAGAGCGTTGGCCTGCGGACTGAAGGGTCCCAGGTTCGATTCCGGTCAAGAGCATGTACCTTAGTTGCGGGCACATCCCCGGTGGGGGGTGTGCAGGAGGCAGCTGATGGATGTTTCTCTCTCATCGATGTTTCTAACTCTCTATCCCTCTCCCTTCCTCTCTGAAAAAAATCAATAAAATATATATATTTTTTAAAAATTAATATTCTTCCTGATCCACCTCTTGTTTTACTAGTGAAAAGAAATTTAACAAAATTTTAAAGTATATATACATATTTATAATATATAAAATATAAAAAGAAAAAAAAAGCTCTACTTTCAGAGCAAACTTTAAAATATAAATATGTAAAGCTTTTATTTTATTTTTATATTTTTATTGATTTCAGAGAGGAAGGAAGAGGGAGAGAGAGATAGAAACATCCACGATGAGAGAGAATCATTGATTGGCTGTCTCCTGCACACCCCACACTGGGGATCAAGCCTGCAAAC